CGTCGGATATGGAGGATACAGGCCTAACTAATGCAACGTTTAGGAAGTTACTAACTGCCGTAAAGCATGATGGCTGTTGCTGGTATTGCTCTGGCTGCATAGTCAAGGTGAATGAAGCGATTGCAATCCATAAGGGAACGAGTTCTCTAGGGACGAAAATAGATGAAGCAGGAGCCCTGCTGGTTGACAAACTGGAGCAAGTTGGGAAAGAGATCCTTGCTAAGACTGAGGAAGTAGCTAATAGAATGGAGGTGGTTGCTAAGAGGAGTTATGCTGACGTATTAGGAGGGCCACGGGGGGGGGGCGGAGAGTAATGCAGAATCAGTACAGGTTCTACAGCAGATTGGGACTCTGAAAAAGTGTGTCGAAGAAATGAAAATTAACGGACCTACTGTTAGGGGAGAGGAGGAACACCAGGAACGGCTCCAGCGCAGGAACAATGTAATAGTTTTTGGAGTCCCAGAGAGCCAGGCAGAGGGAACTGTGAGTAAGGAAACACACGACAAGGTGCTGTTTCAAAATATTTGCACAGAGGTTCTGAAGATTCCAGCAACCCCTCAGGATGTGAGGAGACTGGGACAAAAGCAGGGGGCTAAGCCTCGCCCCCTCAGGATCACACTAGGGAGTGAGGAGGAGAAATGGCAAGTTATTCGGCAGGCAAAAAACTTAGCAAGGAGCGAGGCATTTCGGGATGTATTTATTCACCCAGACCGCACGGTAATGCAGAGGGAACAGCACAAGAAGCTCCTGCAGGACTTGAAGCAGAAGAGGGAGGAGTCGAGGAGGAACGGGGACAGGTGCACATGGGTTATACTCAGGGGGAGGGTAGTGGAAACAAGTGTGCCGACACAGGGCGAGGGGGCAGCGGTACACCCTCCACCCACTCAACCCCCCACCCGGGAGGCGACACCAGCTCAGCCTACCGGACAGGAGGGAACGAGCGCCGTGTAAACAATGACATTTTTAACCACACCCTGCAAAATACAGTGTACTTAGCAAATGCTGCAGCTTCTGAGAATGTGGGGGGAGCGGGTTTATTACTAAGAGCAGAGACGTTACCGAGAACAAATTCTGGCTTGAATGTCATGTACACTAATACTGACACGTTCCTTGATAAGAGAGAGGAGTTTGAAACACTACTAAGAGTACACCAACCAGATATTGTAGGAGTTGTAGAACTGTTGTACAAGAACAGGAGAATCAACCCAGAGGAATGTGAGTTCAGTATTGCTGGATATGACTCATTTACGAACCTAACTCAAGAATCCTGCAGGAGGGGTGTGGTTATCTACGCTAGGCAAGACCTTAGAGCCAGCCAGGCGAGGGTACAGGAAGAGGATGTTTTTGAAGAGTCCAAGTGGTGTAAAATTAAATTAAAGGGAGGGGACTTACTTATCGTCGGGTGTATCTACAGATCCCCAAACTGTGGCCCACTAAATCAAAGGAACTTAAGAACCTTAATAAACAATGCGGCGATGCTCAACCCCAGCCACCTCCTTATCATGGGGGACTTTAACTATGGCGACATCGACTGGAGAAACGAGTCCACCCCGAATGACTTGAATAATCCTGCTACTCTTTTTGTAGAAACTCTGAGAGATAATTTTCTGTTCCAACATGTGAGAGACCCGACACATTACAGAGGGGAGCAAACACCCAAGCCACTTGACCTCATCATAACAAACGAGGAGGGTATGGTGGCCAAACTGGAACACCTTGCCCCAGTTGGCACCAGTCACCATACAGTGTTGTCATTCAGATTTAACTGTTACCTAGTTCAAGATAAGGCCAGGCCAAGGTGCAAATATTACAAGGGAAATTACAATGGGATGAGGGAAGAGATGAGGGGTATCAACTGGCCTGACTTATTAAGGTACAAGAACGCAGACACTACGCTGAATATCATAACTAGTAAAATGACCCATTTGATCGATAAATATATACCCAAGACCAAACCCAGTGCTTCTAGGAATACGAGGGGATCCCTACACATGAACCATGCGGCGGTCGACAAAATTAAGAAGAAAACCCAGAAATTCAAGACGTGGGTTGGGTCAAACGATGAGCAAGACAGGAGGATGTATGCAAGAGCCAGAAACCAAGCAAAGATAGAGTGTAGGAGGGCTGAAAAGGAGTTCCAAAGGCTGGTTGCACGCGAGGTCAAGTCAAACCCAAAGGCGTTTTACCGCTATGCAAAGTCGAAATTGAAAACGCGAGTAGGAGTATCAGACCTGAGGCTTGAAGATGGTAGTTACGCAGATTCTGACCAGGATAAAGCTGAGGCATTGAACAGCTTCTTTTCCTCAGTGTTCACAAGAGAGGATGCATCTAACCTTCCTGCGTTTGAGGACAGACGGTTCGACACAGCACTGACCCACATTGTGTTCACAGAAGAGGGTACTAGAAATAAACTGTCCAGGCTAAAGGTCCATAAGAGTCCTGGACCTGACATGGTGCATCCTAGAGTGCTAAGAGAGCTGTGCAACGAGCTTGCAGAGCCCCTGAAGATTCTGTTTTGTAAATGCCTGGATGAACAAATGGTCCCCAGTGAATGGAAAGTGGCTTATGTGAGTCCTATCTTCAAGAAGGGCGATAGCCACTCCACGAACAACTATAGACCGGTGAGCCTGACCAGCATAATATGTAAAGTACTTGAGAGTATTATCAGAGATGCCGCGATGGAACATCTACTACGAAACAACCTTGTAAAAGATTGCCAACACGGTTTTATGCCGGGGCGCTCTTGCTTGACACAATTGCTCAAGGTATTGGATATTTGGACCCATATTCTAGAACGGGGTGGTAATATCGACAATATTTACCTAGATTTTGCCAAGGCTGTTGACAGTGTACCCCACGAAAGGCTGAAAATCAAACTGGAAGGGTACGGAATTCGGGGAAATGTCCTAGCGTGGATAGAAGACTTTCTACATGACCGCAAGCAATGTGTGGTGATTAATGGCACGAAATCGTCATCTGTACCTGTAACAAGTGGGGTACCGCAGGGTAGTGTATTGGGCCCGCTGTTGTTTGTTTGTTTCATAAACGATATGCCTGACGTTGTACACTCCTCCATACAAATGTTTGCCGATGATGGCAAGTTATTTCGGGAAATTAAGAACCAAGCGGACTGTGAAGAGCTGCAGAAGGACCTCTGTGGGCTCCAGGAATGGTCGAAGGAATGGCTGCTGAGATTCAATGTCACGAAGTGTAAGAGGATGCACCTGGGGCGTACCAACGGTAAGGAGGCGTACCATATGTCCCAACGGGATGAAGAAAATGTACTAGTTGAGACTGTGTGTGAGAAGGACCTAGGTGTGTATGTTGACAATGAGCTGAAGTTCTCGGGCCATTGTGAGAAGAAGGTAAATCAGGCAAATAAATTATTGGGTCTTATAAGAAGGTCGTTCAGATATCTAGACGGTCCGTCCCTCGTGACGATCTTCAGGAGTGAAGTGCTTCCCCATCTGGAGTACTGTCACCCCATCTGGTCCCCGAGATATGCTAGGGACTGTCAGTTGGTTGAAAATGTTCAAAGGAGGGCCACCAAACTGGTGCCTGCACTTCGGCACCTCAGCTACCCTGAGAGATTGGAGCGCCTGAACTTGCCTAGCTTATACTACAGACGGGCAAGGGGGGACCTAGTTGAGGTTTATAAGCATCTCAGGGGGCACTACTCAGTTGAGTGTCCTTACTTGGAGCTGGCGGACGCTCGCCCCACAAGGGGTCACAGCTCAAGATTGAAGAAGCCGCAAGTCCAGAAAACCGTGAGGGCAAACTTTTTCGGAGTGAGGGTTGTAAACTCTTGGAACAATCTACCAGAGAGTGTTGTGACGGCACCGAGTGTGAGCTCTTTCAAGAGAAGACTTGACCAACACTGGAGCGGGTTCAGGTACATTCAGGAGCCTGTGCATGCCCAGTATTTGCCAACAGTGCGTGACAGAGACGTGACCGATCGCCCGGGCGGCTAGCGAGCCGATCTTTTGGTGAAGAATATAAATGAAAAGAGACGTGACCGATCGCCCAAGCGGCTAACAAGCCGATCAGTGGCGAAGAGGATAAAAGTAAAAAAAGTAAAGCCACGGCACTATCTCTCCCACTACAATTCCCTTCCTAACCTCCTGCTCCTTCCTCTGTCATCTTCCCCGCTCTGACTTTCGCTACCAACAACTTTTGGAGCTTCTAAACTTGGACTGAACCAGGGAGACCATTCTACTCTGACCTACAGGACCAGCAAGATCTCTCTCCAGCACCTCACCACCCAGCTTCCTCAGAGAGCTCCTCGCCCTACAGGAACTCTGAGCAAGCTACTCCTCACCTAGTAACTCCTTAGCACTACTCTGTACAACAATATATATACAGAAAACGCATCGTGAGTTTCTATTCTACCTCATTCCTGAGTGTGAGATATCTACATGTATGTACGTTTGTGTGGCCATACAAAGAGAAAATAGACATCTAAAGAGAATTGACTACCGGCCACACCACAGTATGCTACAGTACAACAATATATCATTACAATTATTGAAAAATATTATTTGTTTACTCTCTCTCTCTCTCTACGAATCTGCGTATTTTATGGCAATGGGTGAATATTAGGCTGGTAGATCGCGTCAGGGTACTGGAAAAAGTAGATCACTTCGCACAAAAGGTTGGCCACCCCTGGTCTAGGGGCATCCCTGTTAAAAGTGTGATGACACAAAGCTACTAACGCTGCGATGCTATCATGTATTTTCAACTCTCGGAGTGTACTGAGCCTTGTGCTCCTCAGATTGTGGGAGAAAATCTTGAATTCGTAGTTACCCCTACACTTTAGCGTAAAAATTTCGTTTTCACATATAGTTCGAATTATCTAATAAAACTTTTAAATTTAACCACTAGATGGTAGTACTATATAGGAACAAATGCCATAACCATAACGTTATAATCACCACAAGGATTATTGGGAAAGCCTACAATGTATCTTCTTAGTAAGTTATTGTTATTATTATTATGTTACTGTGAGCAAGGACGTGTTACATCACTGTGGTCAGTGTTATAAACGGAGGTTTACAGTGATTTGAAATTGTATTTAAGTAACTATAAGAGGAATTTAGCTTTATAATGAATGCTTTATTGTTTACATGAACGGCTATCGAGAATTAGGGTTAAAATTTATTGATGTCTTATGTGTAGATTGAGGATGGCAGACGACAAGAATGAGTTGGCTGAGGCAGTGAAGAAGACAGAGTTCACAGAGCTAGACTGGTTGACCCTTAGGAGTGACCTTGGTGAAGTACAGCTCAAGACTCATGAAACTTCCGGCGAGAAATTCAAGAGGAAATTTTATGAGAATCCATTTGTACCTATTGGTAAGTGTGGCACTTGTGATATATAACAGGTTGCATAAATGTTAAGGGTGTGGTTATTTTTCGTTTTCCACCCATCACCTTTTTTCATATGAAAAATATATTTGGTAAAGGTATACGAAACTTATCACCAGAAGGATATGTGCGATTTGCTTGAAATTTTGGTGAATTTTTAGTATCACACCGGGCTTGGGTCCGACTAATTACCCAAATGTACCCGCAATCAGATTCAGATTTGCCCCCGAGGGGGCTAGTTTATTGGGCACCCCCTTACATCCTGTGCAAGGTGAAGCACAGAAGCGTTTACAGCGCCCAACAGGGAAGTATGAAAAGTTCATACTTGCCTTTATGACTCGTACATTAAGGGCGTAAAAGCCTGAAGGGTCATAGGTTCTGTCAAGTTACATAAAGTGAGAGAATGATGAGTGTGTGGGGGGAAAGTTCCCGGTACATTTTATCTGTTTATGGCAAAGAGTGGCAGGTCCCTAATAATGTCAAATGCCAGGCCTATGACTAGCAGGAGGGATATCTGGTCTGGGAGGGAAGAGGTGTTGGTAACGGCTGGGGACCTATAGGAGGAGGTCATAGGGCAAGTGAGGATGTAGTGAGAGAGGGTGTGAGAGTCGGGTTGGCCACGAAGTTTACAAACAGTGCGGTGAGGCTCAGGGTTGCCAATGTACTCCCATAGGTACCTGTACCCTAGGCGCAGTCTCGTGTATATAAGCTGTTGAGATCGAGTCAGGGATTGATATTCTTTGTAGTGGCGGTTGTCGTCACCGGTTAAAGCGTCATAGTGGCATAGTGTGACGCTACCCCGTTGTTTCAGGTGTGTCCAATTTTCGTTGAATGCCTCTCGTTGTGTGGCGTGTATGCGAGATTTGAGATGTTTCAGGGAGAGGGCGAGAGTGGCTTCAGTAGCTTCTTTGGCAAGCTGATCAACAGTGTCACAGGCAGTTTGTAGCCGCAATGAAGTCAAATAATGGTCCTACATGAATAAATCGGACTGCCAATCACTTCTCGACTAGTATTTGGTGTCACGATGTCACAAAAAATTGGTAAACTTAATTTAATCTGAGTTAATAGATTGAGCGCATGTACCTAACCTAACCTAACACAACTCAGATTAAATTAAGTTTACCAATTTTTTGTGACTATGACACCAAATAATAATAGAGAAGTGATTCACAGCCCGATTTACGCTTGTAGGACCATCATTTGACTTCATTGCGACTACATTTGGGTACATTTGGGTTCATTTGGGTAATTACTCGCTCCCTCGGTACAAGCACGCGATCTATTAACTCAGTTTAAATTAGGTTTTCCAATTTTTTGTGAATTTGTGACACCAAATACTAGTCGAGAAGTGATTGGCAGTCCGATTTATTCATGTAGGACCATAATTTGACTTCATTGCGGCTACATATGGGTACATTTGGGTAATTAGTCGGACCGCCGGGCTTTATTTCTGTATTAAAAATATGTATCTCGTAATGTCTACACAATTCTAAGACATTTTTCTTCTATGATATTTCCACCGTAAATTAAGGATAACCGAGATATTAATTTTTTCAAGATTATTACTTTCGCTCAGTCACAAGTGTCGCCATGATTTGTTTACTTACAGCGGAGGTGGTCTTACCCCCTGCTCACGCATCGCTCCTGGCCTTCGACGGGGGGGTTAGGTTAGGTTTTCTTGGTTAGTTAATATAATGTATTAAAAAGAATTCAACCTTTTCCGTTATGGTTGTTGGGGGGTATCTAAAAAACATGTGATTTCTGGTGGAAATGAATATCAAATCCGTTCGAAACTCGTCAAAATATACAGAGGAAAAACCTATTTTTAATATCGTAATAAAGACCGGTGTGATACTATAAATTGACCAAATTTTTTTTTACACTATTAGCATGATATCAAACAGAAATGGAAACGACAATACATAGAACCTACTAGAACCTGACCTAACAAACTCATCCTATTAGGTCACGTTCTAGTCGGTTCTATGGAATCGATGCATTATCGTGTGCATTTATGTTTAATATAATGCTAATAGTGTGTAAAATTTTTTTAAACCAAATCGCACTTAGCCAAAGAGCCTAGGAAACCCGTCTAATGATTCTCTTAAGCAAAAGAACCTGAGAAACCCTTCCTAACCTTACCTTATCATAAGCAAAAGAACCTAGGAAACCCTACCTAACGATTGTCACGAACGAAATTAACCCTAAACAAACAACTTACCTTAATATTTGGCAAGCAAAGTAAGCAAAAGAACCTAGAACACCGTACTCTTGTAACGAAGGGAAAAAAATCTTAAAGAACTTACTTTAATATTGAGGTTGATATTGTGGACAAATGCGTAGGAGCACCTATTACAGTACATTGAAACTCGTATATTTTGTTAGTGTGTAAGTTTCTTCCGCATTTGGAACATTTACAAGTGTTATTAATTAAACCATGGTCACAAATAAGAGCTAACAAATGAGAATCATCAAGAATTAGGCCTGATAATTTGCGATAAGAATAATCACAACCACTGCAGGCCAACATGATGAAAACTAGACGCTCTAACACGTAATAATCACGTCAAGTACCCTCCCCTTGGGGGATCTGTATAAGTGGGAGGACATGCAGTTCATAGAGAACTGTGACGAATGTTAACGGTATAGAAAACGATAACAAGAGAATCCAATCAGTCTAAAATTTGATCATGTAAAAGTAGAAATATGACACAATTACATCATTTATTGCTTGATAATAAAAAATAAAAAAATAGAGACAAACTATAGACGATATAAAGAAAACAGAGAATGCATTTAATAAATAAACAAAAAAGAAGAATAAAGTGGTATTTAAGTAATTGTAAACTTAATGAAGATGCTTAAATATTTTATTTAAAGGGTCAGTAATAATGGAACAAAACTGATACAAGTTGACAGGAAGCGAAGAATGGCGGCAGGATGGGAATTGTGAAGTAGGACTGACTTACAGTAAGAAAGTAAATTTTGCCGTTTGAAATGCACCTACAGACGTAATTTTAATGCCAGAACATCAGTGTTCGTTGTGTTTTTACCCAGTAATTTCCCTTATCTTTCATGCCCTGCCCACTATCAAGGAATTTAAGATCATAGGATAGAGTAATTGAAAAAAATTCCTAAAAAATAAAAAAAAATATAATGGAAAGTTGTCGTTTCTTTTAATATACTTAAAATCATCAAAACAATGAGTATAGCAAAAAATAAAGAAAATCAACAAACAACTTCTGATGATAACAGTTTCGTAAACATTTACCATATATTTTTTCGCTAGGTTTCTTGCTGTTTTAGATGATTCTAACATTTATCTTTGGGGCAAATCAACTTCTTTTTTTTTTCTTTTTTTATATAGTTAGGTTAGGTAAGGTTGGTTGGTTCCTTTGGTATGAGAATAGGATAGTTTTGGTGTATTACTCAAATCTGATCTTAATTTGTTTATGCAAATTGCAAAAAATTGCAAAAAATTAACATTTTCATTTTAACAGAAACCGCTAATTTGCAAAAAATGGAGGTTAGATTTGAGTAAAACACACCAAAAATAACCTATTCTCATATCATAGGAACCAACCAACCTAACCTAACCTATTCTCATACCAAAGGAACCAACCAACCTAACCTAACCTAACCTAATCTAATCTAATTTTTACCCAAACAGACTCGGTTCCTATTTCACCCTTAATTGAATTATTAATACAACATTTTAATATATCCTTGACGAAGCGTGCGACCCCTCCCCCCTTCCTACCTTCCATGTCCTTGTGAAAAAGGTTGTATCCTTCTATGTGGTATTCTGATAAAAAGTTCTTGCTCGCCAGATTCATCCAAGTTTCGGTGATTGCTATGACGTCTACACTATCAATACATGCAACCACTCTCAGCAAGTCTATTTTATTTCTAACACTCCTACTGTTTGTATAGTATACATTTAAACCTACCCTTCCCTGGTCCTGTTTTATCCCTTGTCCTGAGTAACCAATTTTACTCCCCAGGACCTGCTTGTTTTTGTTTTTTGTTTTTTTACACCCTCTTACCCCGACCTTTCTCTACTGGCGAAACTCCCCTTTTGGAGTGACAATTTCACGCTCCAGGGATGCAGACAACGTCTTTAACCCCCTCGCGAGACAAGTGTACTCCGTCACGACTGTACAGGGACTCGTTGCCATATAATGGTTGCCAGTTATCAATGAACGCCCAACCATTGCTTGCACAATGTCTTTCCAGTCGGCAATTTATAGCAATTGCCCTGGACAGCCATTCACCGCCAACTCCTCTTCTTGGCAAGACACCACATACTATCGGGATCCCTCCCCTATCTCTAACCTTCCCTAGCGCCTCCCTATACCTCTTGAAAAGTTCCTCACTCCTAACGTTTCCTATGTGGTTACCTCCTCAACTAAGAAACACTATTGGCTTGGTACCCCCCCCCCTGACAAAACCCTATCTATACTCTCAGCTACATGCCCTATCCCAGCCCCAGGAAAACACACCCTAGTCCTACGTTTCCTATCTCTTGCACAAAAAGTCCTATCTAAGAACCTCACCTGGCTGTCCCCAACTACCACAACCTTACCACTGGGCATGGTTTGACCAACTGCCCTTTTCTCTCCTGGCACCACACCGTCTTGCCTCTTCTCTTCCTCGCCAGATTCCTCTAACACTTGGTAGGGGTTACTGCACTCCACACTCTGGTCAGCTTTCCTGAGTCTGACCCTAGTCCCCTTGGAGACAACCACTCTCCACCCCTGCTCCTCCTGACCCACCTGAAGAAGTTCAGTCCTGAGGGCTTCGTTCTCCCCCTTTAAAATGTCTATCTCTCTCCGCAACTGCTCCAGCTGACTTCACAGAGTGGCCAAGGGGTCTTCTTTCCTCACACACACACACAGTCCCTCTCCCCTTACAACACAACGATCCACTGCGGACATTTCCTATGGTCACTAACACGAGCACTTAGGGGCACGTCCTTCTCCAAGCTA